TTTCGCTCGCTACTCTGGTTTAAATAGATGATTACAAAGCCCAGTCGAATTGTAATCAAGACCCAACGTTTCGACACTCCAGTCTAGTGTCTTCATCAGGGGTGATATAAATCTGCGGTCGTGGCTTCTTAAATGCCCAAGGGATGATGTCACCTGCCAAGAAGATGCATATATTCCTATGGCAAATAGGCACCGTCATCCCTATCCAAAGCATGATGACTCATATTTATATGCCACGCTTCTAGGCAAAGTCTTTGACCATAGCGAATGTTTGTGGTAATTACTTTAAAGTTTTCCCACGCAATCTCGTGTTTGGTGCAACATACATGTTCGGCTAAAGCTGATTTTCCCTTGTCTATAAAATTGAAACAGCCTTTTGATGTTCTTTTAGCCGTTTATCAAACTGGCGTTTAAACTGATCCAAATACTCTTTGTCGCAGTCACTGCATGGTATAGACTATATAGCATGAGTCTTATGATTTGTTTCAACAGGATTTTTTGGCTTTGCGAAAATATGGCCTAAAGTCAAATATGGTTTTAAGGCAACCTTAATGTTACAATCACTTAAGATTCTCTTGATTGGTTTTGTGACACCTTAAATGTATGGAACTATTGCAAAACCGTTAACAGAGGTATCACCCTCGGAGTTATTTTGGTTCCTACAAACAGGTGGTCTCAGGCATTCGTTAAGGAAACGCTTTGGGTAATAGTTTTTCCCTAAAATATTTAGAACCTATTCATGCACGTTCATTAGCTTGAGAATCACTGTTTGCCGGCAACAATTCAGCTCTTTGAAGCAAAGTTTTTGCTATGGATATTTTATGGCTTACCGGGTGATGAGAGTCGTATGACAAGTATTTGTGTGTGTGTGTGGGTTTGCGATAAACATCAGTCTCTAACTTCCCTTCGACAGTTCTGTGCACATTCAAATCTAAAAAAGCTAAATGTCCATTTATCTCACGTTCTACCGTGAATTGGATGGACAGCTCAATAGAATTTAAATGTTGCAGCAGAATATCGATCTCATTTGTAGAAACCGCAGAGATGACATCATCGACGAAATAGGAATTAAATAGCCCAATAAAATAGGAATTAAATAGCAATTAAATAGTGTTTGGTTCTACAAGGGTAATAACCATTAGTTTCCACAGCCACAAGTACACACATGAACAAAAAACAAAACTCTCATTTATTGTCCAAATAGTTCGGTAAATACAAAGCTAAACAACGTTAGTGTCTTTGTTTTCATTTATTGACGGAATTTGTACGAGCGGGATTTTTCCACAAATAGAGTGCGGCTTGAATTCCCTTTCCAAGTTTTGTTCTATGGGTACTTTGCAAATCAAGTTTCGAACGATAATACCATATGCCATTCTTTTTCTGAAACAACGGAGTGTTGTTCTCTGCCTTCACATCAACGAACGGTAGAATATCCGTCACTACGTTAAAATCTATCTTCGCAGTAGAATCCTGGAACGCCTTGTACACTTGATCAGCAGATTTCTGCATTGCCTCTGTGGCAAGCTTGTAATTACGAGCACTTTTTCCAGCATGTAGAGACTTGTCACCATATGCTGTCCACATGTCTCCTCTTTTATTTTTAACACGCAAGCCATATTTACAGTCTTCGTCATGCATCTCTTTGCTAAGGTAGTCTCCAACATTGGCGTATAATAAATGAAGGGGCCAATACGCCTTTGCCAAAAATTTTTCTAATTCTGCTCTCGGTGTTCTATATTCAAACAACAAGGCAATTTTCAATATAAAACAATAGGATGAAAAATCTTTTTAGCCAAAAGTGGAGCATTTTTCCTCGTGTAGTATTAAAATACTCAAATCTTGGTAATTTCACAAGGCTTTAATTATTTGTTCGTATTTTATAACATTTCACAACCAAACTTTGCAATTTTTCTATTTTGGCATGCTCGTTTGATCTTATATGTAGGCCTAATGATAGATACTTGTCTTTCTTGTTTAGATAAAAAATTAGTAGATAGCTGGAATGATCCATTATTAGCGTAAAAATGTCCCCTGAATCGAGAAATCTATAATATTGTGTATGTACCTTGTCAGGATAAACCATGATTTTCTCGAAGCAATAATAAGGCACGTACGCGGTTGTTTATTATGTATTGTTCCAATTTTGAATTCTATTGTTTGATGTAGGTTATTCTAATATATTAAAAAAAATTAATGCATGAGCGAGTCGCTTTGCAAGATTTGACGAAATAATAAAAATTATTTTATTAATAACATGGTTATGCCCTTAACCTTAAAAATCATATAGCCATCAACATTATATATTGCAAGAGAACCCTTATAAAAAAATATTTTTCGATATATCTTTAATTTAAAAAAAGTAAAACATAAGGTCCTTTTTAGGTTCATGACATTTTATTAGATGTGCATTTAGTTCGAAATGTTTTCAATAGCTTCCGTAAATTAGTCTGACTGGCATATTCGTCTTAGGTACTAGCTATATATGGCAACGACGAATGTAAAAGTTACTGATTTTGTGTCAGCTAAACATAATCTATTATATACTTAATTTAAATATGATCACAAACGCTGTACTTGTAACAAAATGTTTCCAGGATTGAAGACCACCTTGAAATTGTCCTGCACTTAACAAAAAAAATTCCCTTGGTCTGATGAGCGCCACTCGACCTTCGGCTTGGGCCGCTTCTGAGACCTCCAAAAATTTTTTTTAGTACGGACCTCGCAGGCAACCGGTAGCTAACATATGAAACTCATACCTGATGTGACCGCTTGAGAAGCAGTCAGAAAGATAGTGGCCTGCAAAAGCTTCCATTGCGTAAGCTTCCATGAGAAAGTTCTTCTTTTCTTCTGGATCAGTTTTCTTTGCTGCCTGACGTGCTTTATCTATAGCGCATTGATGACCTGCGCGGTAAGCTTCCGTTGCTTCCGGTTGAAAGTGGTCGGTATTTTTTGCTGCCAGATTCATCATTCTGCCCCAAGTCCATGGGAAATATCCCACGAAAGGAGCCCAGTGCCATTTACCACCAGTAACCTCGTCCCATTCTTTATCACTGTGAAGTTTTCCCTTGCCCGATGATTGTGCTTTGTGGTCTTCATTGATCATTTTCACAAGATTTTGTACTTCCACCCGAAGATTTCGACGATGATTACGCGCAAGATCAGAAAAGGCTTTCAAGAATCTTCTGCGGTTGTCTCTCATTTCCTTTGCTTCGGAAGGCTTCGCGGGGGGAGTAATTATCGGACTTTCAGGAATGCCATAGTAATCGCCAGCTAAAGCAACAATTTTACCAAAAGTGAGTTCTATTCCGTTCGGAAGCCTTAATTTGGAGTTCATTCTCGGTGGATGTATCTTTATGCGGTTTCCAATGTCGTTGTGTTCGTTCGAGCTGAAGTGTGATGTTCGTATCTATATAGAAAACAGTTATTAACTTTTCAGTAGGCCTAAATGGAAGCATTTGAAAGTCGCGACTAAAGCCAAGTATTTACTAGCCTGCTCACAGGCTCTATTATATAGAGCCTGCGACTTTTATTGATATTTTTTCAATACGCCCCCTTTGAGATAATTGAATATCCGGTAAATAGTAGCCAATCAAAGCAAGTTTTGTTAATTAGATTACCAGAGGTTATTAACAACAACAAACAGTTTCTCGCGCAATTTTACGCCTGTATCTTTCACTAGGATTCCAAGGTCTAAACTTTAATCTAAAATAATTCATGGTCGTTTTTTCCCTAAAGTGTTCTAATATTTAAAACATAGTCCCGTTTGTATATTGCTGTCTTGTTCGTATACATTGCCGTTTTAAATTATGTAACTATACTAAATATAACTGTAACTAAATATATAAAATTTTATTCTCTATTAGTTAATGTATTTTATACATTTATATCCAAAATATAACTGTAAGATTTAAGGAAACGTATTTAGGTTTTGAACAAACACTATTTATTAAAAGTGTCGAACAATAGCAGGCTAAAAAACAACATTAATCATTATTGCGTGAAGTCTGTCATTTGCTCAATAATACAATTAACTCAATAGACAATAGACAATTTGAAAACCCGTGGCCGTGGCATCGATTCTGCCGTGTTTAAAACTACATTTTTTTTGTAAAAAGCTCTTGTTGTAATAATATATGTCACTAGTTGAGACTCCCAAAAATAAAGTCTCAAAGAGAGAGCGGACTTCGGTCAAAAAACACGCAAACGACTATTGCAAAATTTCCAGGTGTAAATTCAAATTGGCCAGGTGTTCTAAGAACGACTTTCCTCGACGGCGTCTGTTTTAATAATTTGCCCATTGTCTTGACTTATTCAAGACCAGATTGTTTAGGCAGAAAGCCTTGGGTTGACAGGGAAGTATTTGGGAGAAATGTTCGGAGGCATTTGACAATCAACTGCTTTATACTAGCTGATTCACTGCCTGTGTCTCAACGAACGTCTCGCTGGGCTAACCTTAAGTTGTTCAACGTTTGAAACCGCAAGTGATGCAAACGCGGTTAGATAAATTGTCAGCCTGAACTAGACTTATTTTACTCTCTCTGCAAAGATCAGCAAGGCATACGTCGAAGTTTTCCCTTGTACTTCTTTGGAAAAGGTTTATTATTATAGCTGACGAAGACAAAGTATCGGTATATTACATGTAAACTTTTATCAAATCCCGTTGGAAGTACAGTTAATATTGCTAACCTTCGTTCATCTTTCAACGTTAATTTAAATTGAAAGGTTTCTCAAATACATTCAGTTACTTCTTCGAAGAGATAAACAAAGTCATGGTTTTATACGCCACTGATTGAATGCCAGCTTTAAAATTACATTGCGAAATGTCGTACGAGTTAAATATTTGCACGATATTAACTCATGGGGCACTTCTGACCAATGGGAATTTTGCGTACGCTCCGTACGCATAAATCGACTTTTTACTAATAAAGGTCGCAGGCCGTTCCTCCCATGCAGCCTCTGCCTGACAACGGCCTGCGAGCAGGCTAAGTATTTACCTAATGTTGTATTCAATTGGAAACCAGTCTCATTTTTGGTAATTTAGCTGGACTAAATTTGATAATTTAGCTGGCTTGAATAATTTATTTAGTAACAATAACTGCATTATCTTGAACATATTTTGCATAATGTTCGAACCAAACACGTTGGTTAGTGTTGTTAAACAGGATTTCAAATAAAAGCATACCATTTAACTAGCCAGTCAGTTTTAAGAAAATTTAGGTGATATGGCAAATTAAGCGAATAAAAAACGTTGAATTCTTATTGTGTAATACTCCTGCACTCTTCCACACTGCGGAGGACTAATCAAGCTTACCGAAAGGAGAAATTTGTTCAGCCGCTGTAGCTATTATCACCTACCAAACGCAATTCGAGATTCGGCAATATCTTATGTTGGTTTCGTGAATATTAATTAACGCACAAAACTAAAGAACAGAACTCAACTATGTGAAAGGAAATGTTTTCGTTCGCTACTCTGATTTATATAAATGAATTCAAAACCCAGTCCAACTGCAAAAATAAGGATTAATTACTATTTTTGTACTATATTTTTTCCTTATATTTGGTTTTGTCCCTGCTATATTTAACAAATATAAAACATTTTGGGTTTGTTAATGTGCAACTATATCAACACGAGTGGAAATTGGGAAAACGAGCAATTGTGTGGAAATACGATAGACAAACTACAGACGGTACCGTTTCGGCCTTATGGGCCTCATCAGTGTAGTGATGATGAGCAGGATGAAAGTAACTGCTATTTACAGTTACTTTTGATGCCTCACGAATGTGGGACCTCGAAACCATGTCAGATGCTCAAACTGCAAGCAGTGCGCGTGCGCAATGCTTAAGCGGCAATTGTTCATCAATGTATGTATATATATATATATATATATATATATATATATATATATATATATATATATATATATATATATATATATATATATA